TGTGTGTTGTGTGTTGTGTGTTTGTGTGTCTGCAGACATGCAAATATGTGTTATGGTGTGAAAGTATTGCCTTTGGTTTTTGGTGTGCGGGCTCATATGGACTGGAGGTGCTGAAACTTCGATATCTTCTTCATGTTCCTGATCCCAAGGGCCCTGCTTTGATCTGCGATGCCTGGGGTATCCGCAAGCACTGCTCACTTTTCGTTCGGAGGATTGGGTCTACTTCCCGAAGCCACGACACTTGCCAGAGTAGCTATATTGGATTCCTAGCATGTCTATAGTCTATAGCCATAGATCAAGCAAGACTGGTTGCTAAGGACCCAGACCTCCGCCAGCTGAAGCGTATCATGTTGGAGGCATGGTTCCCCGACAGGGTTCATGAGCTTGACGTGCCGGAACCTGTCTCTTGGACAATTCGTGGATAGGGTCGGGCTTCGCATTTTCCTGGTGCATTTGAGATCTCGTCGGTTGAACCTGTTGGGATAAGGATGATCTGGAGCCTGTCGGTGATGGAGAGGATTACAATCTTGATGAGGAGGATGACTTGGAGGTTGAAGGTGGGGCAGAAGGGGATGAACATCCCGTAGAAGAGATGGAGGAGGCCGGTGGCCTCCCCCACGAGGCTGATGCTGCAGCCGAACCCATGGCGGTGGATGGTGAAGGCGATGGCCCGACAGAGGAGCATGATGTGGTGGTGCTATCCGACGAAGAAAACAACACGCCGCCGCACAAACCAGTTAGAATGCTTTCTCGTTCTGGCTCCAAACTTGACGCGCCCGTGGCCCACCGACTTCAGATGCTGAAGATGCAGCTTGAAGCTGTGAAGTGATTCGGCTAGATTATGCACATAAGATGTTACATGCAGGATTTTGCCATGATGTGCCACCCAAGGAAGATCCGCTCTGCCCGAGCATCATCCAAAGGCAGCTGCAGTGCTGCATTGAGTTCATTTGTTGAGAATGTCATGTTGGGAATGTCATGGCCTTACACATGATACATGCTTGTGTTCCGACCTCGTATAGTAAGGTTTGATGGATATTGCGGATACCCTGTCGTACGATGAGGATGCTGTTGCTGCAGAAGTCTTGAGACCGTCAGAGGTTGTCATCGAGGATGATAATCCAGAGGAGGCTCAGATTTGCCAGGAGATGCCAGAAGGACCTGCCGATGACTCGGCCGTGCCCGAGTCTTCCCACGACACACCTGCTGCTGTAGAGCCTGCTGTTGATGAGTCGGCCATGCCCGAGTCTTCCCAGGTCGTTCCTGCTTTGGTAGAGCCTGCTGATGACTCGGCCATGCCCGAGTCTTCCCAGGTCGTCCCTGCTGTGGTTGCTACAGAGGCTGCCGCTGACTCGACTGTGCCCGAGTCTTCCGGTATCACCCCTGCTTTGGTAGAGCCCCCGTTGAGGCAGGAAGCTCATGGCTCTGAGGATGCAGTGGGGTCTTCTGCTGTTGAGTGTGTTGCGGCCGCCGTAGTGACAGAGGATGCTCAGGGCTCCAAGGATGTGGGGCAGCCGGCTACAGAGGCTGATGAGGGTCGTGTTGATGGCCTCGCATCCATGAAGTTGCGAAAGGAACGTGTTCCCAACCCCCACTATATCCGATTGAAGAAGTACCTGCATGAGGCAGGAAAAAACCGTTGCATTGCCAAGTTATTGTGTTGCTTAGAAGCTAATGTGTTGCTTAGAAGGCGCAGTCTTTGCAATCACTCATTTCTTTTCGGTCAGGTGGTCGTGTCGAAGCAAAATCAGGATGCAAAGCAAAAGGAGTTGAAAGAGCAAACTGAGCAGGAAAAAGAAAGCAAGAAGGCCAAGAAGGCAGCAGCAAAGGAAGCAAAGATGGCAGCGAAGGCTGCAAAGGAAGCCAAGAAAAAGGCCGAGCAAGCAAAGCCAAAGCGCAGACCCGGAAGGCCATGCAAGAATGAAAGCAAGGCCATGTCCTCTTCTGGTGCTGCTGGTTCTGCTGTGCCAGCTGTGCCGTTGCATGATGTAGAAGAGCCGGCCCCAGCCCCCAAGTGCAAAGCCAG